TCAACTAAGAAGCTCTTGATTGTTAAACAAATTCTCCTTGTCAGCACCTTAGGATACATACAGAGAACAGTATGGAGAATATGCATCCTGATATTAGGGTGTAAACAGTTAACAGCACGTTGCTTGGTCACTTTTGTTGACCCGCGCTTCAGGCCCGCTCTAACTGTCTTTGAATTCTCATTGGTTCCTGTTGATAAAGGCTGATAGTTTCGAAAGAAACTGTTTGGGGCTGCGTCGGTGGGAGTAACGAAATAATTTGGATATAGCAACAAAGTTGAAATGATAAATTGGCCACCGTAATGATTACAAAAGCTGACGTTTCGAGCGTTTGCCCTTCGTCGGAGCGAAGGTTCCTTTTGATACTCTCCTTCATTCCGATTGGCTGTTGTAATTACTTACCGGGATCATCCAATTAGCGATGTCTCCGAACTGTGACACTTGCATAGCTCCAAGAATAGTAATGTCTATGTGACCCCTACAAGAAAACAAAACAACCATGTTTTAACTCACATGTACTATGATTTTCAGTTGGGTGAGGCACGACAGAAGTTTGGCAACCATGTTTTGACGTTTAAATCGTGTTGCTGTTCGGGACACCGGCTCCGTTTACAGCGGCAACATGTCGTTTGACTTCTTTTATCGGGCTTTCGCTTTTGACGGTTGACGACGCACGGCTTCTGAGATTCGGTTACCATTAGAAACGAGGAAGATAACCAATGACGACAATTTTATGTAATTTTCAGGTCAAAATCCCATCACCTAACTTATTCTGCACCTCACTCAACTGATACTCGTAGTAAGATGCTTTACATGATTTGCATGCCAGAGACAAACTCAGCTACGTTCTTACCACATATTGGTGTAATCTGTGATCCATTAGAGAGAATTAGCACCGCGTCTATGCGAAACGTGAACGGCAAGAGTGACCACGTGAGCTTGTTTTCCAGCTATTTTTTCACGTGTGCCGGTTGTGCTTTGCCGTTTCTCCGTGAAAGTAGCCTGTTTCGCGTTTGCCGTGTACGTAAGATTTTCTTCACTTTTTCTCTCACAGAGCAGAAGTTAGTTACTGGAAATAGGGCACCAAAACTATTCCTTGTAAGTCGTACAAGAGCGCCTTTAAATCCACTATCACGTGAGCTCATGCGAAGCTAAACGCGGTGCTAAATTTTTCTATTAATGAACAGACGCACGCCAACATGGAATCTACTTGTTTTAAAATTTTCAAACGAAACTCATAGTGGAGGTTTCAAGCAATTAACAACACTTACCCTCTGATCATAGCAAATGATTCATCACTGGAAAAGTACGAGCTGCCGGCAACGACAGTGACTGTTTCTTTACCTGTATAATTATTATTCAAAAGACGCAATAATCATTGCACAATTGTACAAAACCATGCACTTTGATGCTACTCTCTTCTCTTACAGTTCTCCTCCTCTGGTAAAGACTTGGGAAAATGGGGTGAGAGAAGTTCCTTAGCCTGCCATAGGAAGATTTAAGTCGAGTCAGAGAGAGGACGGGGGCCTGGCCGGGAGGCCTAGCCGGGGGCCTGGCCTTCATTATCAATGCTACACCCCTTTGCAGACTTCGCGCCAAATCGCGTTTCTCAAGCCTCACACTTCCCCGCAGGCGAAGGAAAGCTCATACTGAAGCGCTGGCAATGAAGCCCTGCTCGCAAGTCTGGACTTTCTATAATAGGAGTACCGTGCAGAAGGGGGTTGATTTTCCGGTTCGAGGAGTATAGCAGCTTCAACTCTGTTTCGAAAGCAATACAGGATCGCGTTCATTTAGTTTGGCTCATCCAGGCTTTCTCATTGGTCTAAAAAAAATAATAACACCTCCTTCTAAACCAACGAGAAGCAAAGTAAAACCAATCGCCATTCAAAGAATCCCTTTCTCCCACACTTAATAAGTTTACGTGTGTTCACTTTGGCCTCCGTGTTCTGGTCAGTCCGTGAGATTGTTTAGCTTTAATGGTTTCTGATCAAGTATAACGTTTACTCATTTTCATTTACTCACCAGCGTTGATGAGGTCAGCATCTTCTTCTCCAGGTCTAGGAAAAGGACCCTAAGAAAGACTCTTGTATCACTCCAAGCAATTCAAGATAAGTTCTTTACAAGACCTATTTCATGTTTAGTCAAATGAAGTCAAACTAATAGACGAGAACAATGAGAAGTGCTTTCTTTTTAATTAATTCTTAACCCATTAACCCTTTTAAGTTTCAGGAGTAGGACGTCGTCCGAGACTTGAAAGAAGAAAATTTTAATTTAGGAAAAGGACAACATCAAGTACACTTTAGGCAAGTAAAACGACCTGTACTTATCTTAATGAAGTTTTTAATACAGAGTGCCTACATGCAATCCCTATGAACTAACTTACCAGACCAAGAACTCCATTTTCACTTTGCAAAACTACATTCATTCCCTCAGGTATGTATTTACTGGCTAACATAGGCATACCAATTCCAAGGTTAGCTAATATTTTGAAAAACAGTCAAGAAGCCAAACTGCAGATTTGAGAGGATAATTAGAACACATAATATTCCACAATCAATACTTGTTACTAAACACAATAATAATACTTAATAATAATTAATACTTAATAATAATAATAATAATAATAATTAATACTTAATAATAATTAATACTTTGTTACTACACAAACCGGTTACTAAAGCTAAACAGCAGTCAGGACAATATTCCTCCCCTCCTCTCAACAGGGCCCTTGAACAGTTCTTTTACATTTTAAGATGCATACTTTTGGTAATATACAGGGGTCAAATGATTTGCACACAACATTACTTGGCTGTACACTCAAATGATTCAGCCAGGAAACTAGGTGCCAGTGAACTGTCCGCAAAATCCAATGAGAGGCTGGAACATTTCACTTATTCAATTTGTCATCAAAATTTTAAGTAATCAAACTTTCAAAATGCACAGAATATAATAATACATTTAAATGTAGGGCTGGTGCCCTGACAGGCCTGAGTACTAAAACTCTCTTGAGAAACTGCAAATGAAAGTGCTTTTTCAATAAGTTATGGTGGACAGGAATAAAGGGCAGCATTGCTGGCTGTAAGTGATTGTCTACCCAAAATCTCATCGAGGATACCATACATTCCATCTTTGAATTCCAGAGCTGCTCTTTTTATGATTCTTTCTCTAAGTTCGGCTCCAGCTGATTTGGGTTTGTCACTGTCTTCTTTATCCTGGGTTAAAGTTAACCTCTGTCAAAAAGGTAAGAGTTGATCAGTCACAGTTTGTCAGTCAATCAGTTTGGTATTTAATAATCAGTCTGTATGTGTGTCTGTTTTACTATACATATATATGTATTAAGGACTGTAAGTCCATTTATTTCTGTCATTCAGTCTGCCTAAATACATATTGATTTGATACTATACGTGTACCTCTATCCTTTTCTGATAGTGTGAACCTTTCAAGATCCCTTGCACATAAACACCAGGAAGATGAACATCTTCCTCTGGAATTTCACCATTCTCCACAATTTCTTCAACCTTGAAAAAAAGAGCATTCAGTCATAACTATGATTTTTAACCAGTGCTTAGGTCAGCAAGGCTGGAAAAAAATTCTTGGGACATGGCACCAGTCAAGTTGTACATTCAAACCTATTTTTGCTTGGACACAACATGTTCTTGGCCTGAAAATCCATTTCATCATATCCCAATAATCCATCACCCCTTACAAAAAAGGCCAGTCGTAATAAATTTTCCAAACTTTTACTGTTCATGCAGCCTCACGCAAATTTAAATAAATGCAGGAAAAGTGATACAGCCAGATTGAAAATCTGAACTAAACTGAGAATTTACTCTTCTTTCCATGCATAAGCAACTGGACAAAATGTCCAGCCATCCTAGGAGTTGACCTGAAAAACCCTATAAATTATTTGACTGGACATCATCCATTGACCAGTTGATATTTTGAGCCCATGGTACATCACCAGCATAGAGATTATTCTGGCTGGTTTAATTGGTAAATACTGCTTTAGCGCAACTCAAGGCATGTGGACAGCTGTCCACAATAAAGAAGTTTATCCTGGTCAAATTTGTTATGCCAAAGCATAAATCCTTGCTACACCCAGTGCACAATTTGTATCTTTGTGAAGACCTTACACCCATGATAATCACCCTTGGCACTACTAACACTACATCCACTCACATTACTTTACCTCTGCTATCGTGAACTTTGCAGCTTTTCCCATTGGAGCATTGAAATTTCTTGCTGTTTTTCTGATGATAATTAAAAAAGAATTTCAATGAAAAAATTTGGTAACATGCTGCTGCAAAAATGCACTGCTACCTCTCATTCCCATTGCAACCAGAATGTCCTCTGCCAGAACTTATAGTCTTCTTTAGACTTATTTAATTAGTTAATTAGCATGTAGGCTTTCACCTTTATCACCCACCTAAGTACAGGTTGCTTTCTAATAGTCAGAAATAACTAGACAGGTCAGACAATTTGATGAACAATTATGAACAAGCCTTTAAGTGAGGCACAGTTTTCACCAGAATATTAAAAGAGTCCATTCTATCAACCCTTTGAGAATTAAAGGAAATGATCCCTTACTAAATTTGTTTATGATCATTAAAGAAATTCTCCTTGTCAGCACTGTGAGAAATGTCTTAGCAAACAGTATGGAGGATAGACAGGGCTAAATAACAAAATACTACGTCAGAGGGTATGCCATCAACAACACCAGTTCAAGTGTGGTAAGTCTGAAATCTAGCAAAATTTAGCAGGAAATAATAAGAGCTGACTTTTAAAGCCAAGGCATTTTGATGTCGTCAAAGGCATTTTCCCATTTCCAGAGTTTTTAAGTAGAAATTAATTTTTCAAAAATTTTTAGGGGCTGTACAAAGCTATTGGTTGTTGTTCTGTAAAAGAAAAGCGGCAAGGAAAACGGCGCCTCGAGGCAACAGAATAGGAAATCAATAGCCAAGTTACCGGAAAAGAGGAAAGCCAGAAAACTCTTGAACAAAAGCTCATCTTTCAAACCGGCAGTCTAAATCCCACAGGTATCAACAAACACTTTTCATTCCACTAATTTATTCGTGTTTTTCTCCTTGCCATGTTCTCCCACCAATAACGTAACTCCATTTTCTGCCTTTAAAAGCACACACAACCCACAATTCCCCTATTTGTTCCTACGAAGGGCTAACGCTCGAAACATCAGCTTTTATAATCGTAACGGTGGCCAATTTACCATTTCAACTTTTTTGATATATTCAAATTAGGAAATCAATAGGAGATATCTACTGATGTTTATAAGGTGTGAAGGGTAAAAGGATCTAAAAACAGTTTTGGAATGACAGATTGAAGTGAACAATTCAGATCAAGATCAGAATAACGGCAGATGTCCCCCTCCTTCTCCTTTATAAATTAGAACCTCTAAAATAAAACCAATTATAGCAAGGTAACAATTAAGATCATGGTTATTAACCACGGCATTTTTAATTTGGGATAGTCCAAACCAATTCAACTTGTATTAGTTCACATCACTACCAAAGAGTCAAAATGTTCTTTTGTACCTAAAAGTAAGATTCCCTTCTTTGTCAGCTTTCAAGGCTTTAATGAGAGCAAAGTCTCCAGTGATGGCCTCTTCCATGATGTACTGACGATTATTAAACGTCTTTGCCTAAAATAAAAAAGAATTCATTAGGTTACATATTAATTTATAACACTAAGTGCAACTATGTTTTTTATTGTTGATTGCAAAAGTTGCTGATTACATTTACTTCTCTTAATTTTTTCACTTCAAGTCGGTGCTTCAAGCTGTGACTGCTATATTTGCCATGACAACAAGAAAATTTTTCAAACAAGTTTTGCAGTGGGAGTCACCATTTTGGCGAACTGTGTACGTTTGTTATGTAGCAATTTGCAACATTTTTATGTCCTGGTTTATATGGTATTAAGTCAAAGTTCACTCATTCTTTATCATTTTCTCCTGTAGGGGGCCCATAAGAGGATAATATTACAAACACTGCATGAGAGGATAATACTACAAACACTGCATGAGAGGATAATATTATAAACACTGCATGAGAGGATAATATTACAAACACTGCATGAGAGGGTAATATTATAAAGCAAGACAAGTAAATGTAATGTACTTGGTCAAGTATGTCAGACTATGGCAGTGCTCGTTCATTTTGGGAGAAATTTGACTTGTGCCCAACTCAACTGCAATCACCAACTGCTCAAGAGGTTCTTGCTACAGGTTCAAATGGCTTCAAACTGGCCAGTCGTTTGAAATTCTCCCTGGATTTATCCCTCAACAGCAAATCTTTTATGGAATATTTTTCAATGAACTTAAAGGAAAACTAATATTACTTTTCTGATGCAGAGTCTCCAAGCAAGGAGAAGTGGTTAAGTCTGACATTCAAGTGATTTCGTACCTCTCTTTGCTGACTAGCAATTTGAATGGAACCATCTTTGCCATATTTTATAGGAGAGCCACCATGATGCACCAAGGTCCCATATCCAGTAGGGGTGAAGAAGGCAGGGATTCCTGCTCCTCCTGCTCTGATCCTCTCAGCAAGGGTTCCCTGATAGAGACAAAACACCACATCACAGATCTGAATTGAATTTAAAGGTCGCCAACTTTAAAATGAAACTGCATTCTGTTTTTATTAGTTTCTCAAGGTCTGCATCTATCTCGTTTTCATGTTATCATAAACTTAAGGTACTTCTTTCTCAGCACCCCAAACAAACGGCATAATAAACTCATGCTTATTTTTTTATAACCAAACTACAATAAAATTATTTATAAATAACTCAATTTAGTGTAATTGCCCTCATGCTTATAGAAATGCACACACTCAGATTACTCAAGGATTGCAGCACATCTAGTTTTATAACATAACCAAAGTAAAGCACCTGCTCTGATTGGTCAATTTAGTGTAATTGCCATCATGATTATAGAAATGCACACACTCAGATTGCTCAAGGATTGCAGCACGTCTCACTAACATCACCTCACACGAGGTGATTTAATGGCAGAGATGCTAAATTTCAAAATGACTGCCTCACATTTTTTCAATGTTACATACAGAGAGTGAAAAATGCATTAGAGGGAAAAATAATTCTGGCATGACGATTCCAAAGAAAAAGATGAAGATTTTGCTGATAGAATTGAATAAACCTGTTAAATTCTAGTGGAACTTGACTGTTCATTTCAGCATGTTATTAAAACATTATAACAAAATGGTTTCAAGAACAAAACAACCTGATAATAGCATTCAAAAGCATTGAGCAATTCTACTAAACAATTATTCACTTCAGGTGAAGTGAATATTATGAAATAATCCCCTTGACTTTGTTGCATGGATCATTCAACAAAATTAATTGTAATTCTATTACCTTTGGAAAACAATTGTTAAATGATTAGATATTTCATTTTCCCCAGCATTCTTTATTCTTAACAATAATAACAATACTCATTTATGCTTGATTAAGGAGGTAAATAAAGTTCTCAATAATATGATTTTCTTCTATGAGATGATTTCCAAGAAAAGCCAAGAAAAACTGTCCTGAAAATCTGAACAGCTTTTAACCAATAAATAGGGAAGAAATATATAGGTCACCTGAGGTGTGAGTTCCACTTCCAATTCTCCTGAAAGGTATTGCCGTTCAAATTCAGCATTCTCCCCAACATATGAAGAAATCATCCGCTTAACCTGTTGTCAAAACATTATTTAGCTCCTTAAACACGAAGGCGCGCTGTAAAAGGAGCCTTAGGTCCCACTGGACCATTTGTAAATCAAACTTCGTGTGATGTAGAACTCTTAGAGTCAAGTCAGCTTGAGCTACAGCTACTCCAAAGCAGTGAACAGTATGTGGGTGCATTCCTCAAAATTGTTTTATGTCTTCATCACAATACAAGAATTTTTGAGATTTGTATTTCCTTTCTCCAATGGAAACTATCTTTATTTGTGGCGGTAAATTTGAGATCGAAGTAGGTGGTTCGCACATTACCTCATGCCACCATGCTGGTGGAAGTAAACAATAGATGTCTCATTAGCTCCTTTTGTTCGCCTATCAGCATTTAAATTTGACCCGCACACATTAACGGTGAGTGACAAATGAGCCTAGGTCTTCCCAGGGAAGACTTCCTTATATAGCGCACCTTCGTGTTTAATGAAATACTATTGTCAGTGGTAGAAGAATTTTTTAAACAAGCATCTAATTTATCATTGAAACAAACTAGTCTTTAACCAACCAATGAGGGGGCATGTACTGTCTCAGTTGGTTTCATAATTTGCAATGCAGTTGATTTGGCTCACCATACTGGACCACTCGCCCCCTCCTTCCTCTCCCCCTCCCCCTCAGTTGTGATATAAAATATGATCTAGACAAACCTGTTTAGTCTTAAGAAGCAAGCCAAGGCCAAAGTCATCCACCCTGAAAATTAATTCAACAAAAATTATTATATAAATCAAAATTAATATGATGATGATGAAAGACAATTTAAAATAATTTGTTCAGAATTATTCATGACCTATAGTCTGACTTCTACTTTTTTGAGGTTCAATTTTTACCACAGTACAGCTTTATTTTGAGCAAGGTTATTATGTTCTGAAATAGGAATATAATTATTATCATTTCCTTAATGATTGTAACAGTGCATGTTGAAAAGTTGTCCAAAAATAGAACCTGGGTATTTGGTTATATCTGGTAATCAATGAATTTTCATTAGTCAATTAAAATAAATAAATTCCTCACTCTCACAGTGATGTTTTCTTTCTCTGAAATCCTGAGGTCAAGGAGCAGTGACCCAAAAAATACCCTCATAACCTTTCAGTCTTATCACACACCTTCAATGATTTTTTTCCAACAATCTTTCTCAAAACAGCGGCATACAATTATGCATCTGACTCATTAAAATATACTGGTTCTTACTATGAACCTCACTATACCCTGCATTATTGCTGACACATGTCAAATCTTTTATTCCAGTCTTCAGAAGACCATCAATCAGGTTCTCAGGAATTCCACACAGCCCAAATCCTATTTATATATAGTATAGAAAAAGAATATTCAACATTGTTATAGTAAGTTTAAAATAATTTATTCTAAATATATTATACCATGTAAAGTTGATTCAGAATTCCTTTATTCTTCTGGCAAGATGACTGTAAGGTACAAAACTTTGAAAATCTGTTATAAAATACTCATATGTGTAACATGCATGACATCATTCCTCCTGGATGAAATATAAGCTCTATTAACCTCCTATTATTTTAATACCTATGTTCATTAATCTACGTAAAGCACTACAACTACACATATACCAGTACTAATTAAGACAAAGAAAGAAAGACACAGATATTACTAAATGGCAGTTCCAAGATTCCTTCCTCCTGGACAGCCACATGTCAGTTGGGTCTGCAGGCTGGTACATACAGTCACATGGGGGACTCACAAAATTTGGATATCTCTTCAACTCACAACTGGGTTGCATATTTATAATATAATGGAAAAAAAATTGTTGAAAGTCTGAATGCAAAATTTGTTCATAAGCAGCAATACAACATTTTTGTTCCATCTACATGAAACTGAGAGACCTGGTGGAATTTCATTTTTTTCAGTAGTGGTTTCACAATGTGCCCAAGCAAAAGTTTTTACTTTACAAAATCCAAATTGGGCTTGTTTACTTTTGAACAAAAAATTGACTTAATTAATGTTACTCATACTGAACTAAATATAGATTTTAAACACTGAACAGACCAAACATTTGTCTAAAAATTTTAGCCTAAATTTTGCTATGACTAGTTATTGGCTCTATGTGAAAAAAAAAAACCTCAGCATGAATTTTCAAGCAGAGGAATTTGTCAGACCACCGTGAAGCCAATGGGCATAAGCTTAAAAACGATTTTACCCAACACGCACTGCACCATACATAACTTCATACTAACCCCCCACTAGTAGCTTTGCACCATGAGGAATGTCTTTCACAGCTTCCTCTGCATTATTATAGAAATGCAGACTTCTTGATGAGCTTGTTGAGAATTTGCAACCTAGCAAAACCTGTTTGAGAATACAAAATACATTATTGTATCTCCAACTTGTTGCCTAATGGGTCCTGACTTTTAACTTATGCCCAGTAACGCTCGTCACGCTGATGAAGTCACGCATCTATCTTCATTTTCCTTAAAGCTAAAGAAAAAAAAATTCCATCAAAATAACCTTTTTTTTTTTGTTTAAGCAATTTAATCTAATTCGACCCTACTACCTATTTTTTCGTTTGATGAATTAATATGAACAGATTATTGTTGATCATTGATTAAGAATGAATATTGTTGAGGTCATCTTAGCTTAGAGCACGAATTGTCAACATCACGACAGTTTGGATGACCACTTCATTGTGATTCGCAAAATAAAGCAAAACAATCTCTCTCTTTATTGGAAAATAATAAACCACACTGAAAAGTTTTGCAGCGTTTCATCTCTCCAGTGGTCCACATTAAGTCACATGTATGATCAAAATCGATCCTTTATTTTGCGCATGTTCAAAGCTGTACCTCTACAATAATTCGAACAAAACCGTGAAATTGTCGGGCAAAAAAATTAACTTAGGGTAATAAATAAAGTTGTAACTTACCAAAGGGTAGTTCCTGTGTTTTAAAAGGGGGTTTGATCTCAAAAATCTGGCAAAATCACACTTGTTCAATGCCATACTTTACAACCGTTCTTCCTTCGTTGAAGCAACAAACAAAATGAATGGGTCAGCGGCCTGTTTACTAAGACGAGCCTTCGAGAACACCCCCTCCCAAACAACTGAGTGGGAGGGGAGGCAGAGTGGATGTTGTTCACCTTTAGGGGACCACCAAATGGGTACGACAGGCAGGGAAAACGTCTTGCTTTATGATGGAATGAACGTTTTCAGCCTCACCTCGCATAAAATATGAGAACGCTGGATAGCGCTCAAAATTAAACAAGTGGTTTCGGAAAAACTCAAAAGTCATCTCAGGCGAAAACTTTTCGCAAAATTTTCGCGACATAACAGGAAGTTTGTTTTTTTGTTTGTTTGTCTGTTTTTTTTTTTTTTTTGAAGCAACACAATAGTTGTACCCTGAGGCCTAAGCTGACTTTTACCGCTCATAGCTCGCATCCCTATGGATTTTCCTTTGATTTCATTTGACTAGATCTACCCAATCAACTACTATACATTTACGGAATTGGGCAGTTTCCAAAATTCACGCTGGCGAGCTAAAACAGCATCCATGAAAACTAGAAAGTCGCCTCGTTACCAGTACTCTTCGGTTGGTTTGTTCGTACCGAGTTTTATTGTACCAGTTAGCACTCATCTTCATATTTCAGGATGACGTGACGTCATTCCCAATCTTCGTAACCTTCTTCGGAAGCGTTCGTCGAACACTTCGGGTTCATTCAAAACATGTCAGTACACCAGGGCAAAATACATTACCTTTTCTCAGAAATATAGGCGCTTGCCATTGCAAGTACAATGTGTCTCATTCTTTCGCCGAGCGAGACAACCTTTACGACCTCAATGGTTTTTAATCGATAACATATAATGGCTCAGGTTTTTATCTTCAAGTACATCTTTTGCATCGACTTGTCAACAGACAATCGTGTGATAGTGGTTTTATATTAAAATGAAGTCAATAATACGAGTCTGACAAAGATTAAAAACCTGTGATCATCAACTCAAAACAAAAACAATGTGTTGGTCATTTTGAAGTATCGAATAGGCGCCATACATGAAACTGACGTTCCAATAATTTCCAAACGGTCGAGGAATGTCTGGAAAATTTCACCTCCTTTTTAATTCCTTTTAAAATATTAGTTTATTGTGATTCAGTAATGTTTGAACAACAAATAGATCTACATCTTTGTCATACGGATTTTGGATAACACAGAGCCAACAAGAAGGGACATGTCTGATAGACCCAGGGGTGATATTAAAAATGGAAATGTGGCCACAGTTTGAAAGAAGAATTTACATTAACCAACCCATGGAGAAGGACCACAAAAGATCATGTCATCGGAGAGGTATAACCCAATCAAAAAAGATGAGGGATGTCAACATGAAGATTTTTTTTTTATAAGTAGTCAAACTGCAGATAGTGAGAAAAATGTTGTAAATTAGCCAAATTTTCACTTCATTGACCAATTTGAAGAATAATGACCATTTTATTTTTAATAAAAATAGTAATAATAATGACAATGACAATGATGATGATAACGATAATGATAATGATAACAATGATAACATATTATTTCTATAGATTGGTGGCATGTTACAACCTATTGACAAGAGCCTGGTTCAAAAACTCCATGCCCTTGTTGGTGAAGGGGTCAAAACAGTTGAAGAAATGAAAAGGCACTTGCGACACTATGTCAGGAATGACCTTTTTGCTGGTCAGAATCCCCCACCAGTCACAAACAGATGCTATCATCCCAAGGATGTGGATATCAGGAACCACATGTATAAGGCAACTGTAAAACAGATGCTATCCAACGCTGACCAGGAAAATCTTGAGGAGAAAATTAAGGGGTTGAAACAAGAGAATCCTGAGGATCTCTTTTTCTTTAGACCTTACTCCCTATTCCCTATGGAAGCTGTGCCTGGCAACACCTCTGACACAGATAGCACTGTTGAAGCTCATATCACTCAAAACCTCCTATTTTTGCATCAAACAGCTTGGCAGAGGCATTTGATGAGCAGATATGGAAATGAAATCATGCTTCTGGATGCTACATACAAGACCATGAGATATGGGTTGCCATTGTTCTTCCTTGCTGTTAAAACCAATGTTAACTATACAGTGGTTGGGGCTTTTATAACCCAAAAAGAAACAACAGCTGCAATAGAGGAAGCACTGAAAATATTCCGTACCTGGATTCCCAAGTGGAAACCCCAGTACTTTATGACAGACATTGAGTCTACATTTGAAGGTTTGTACAGTGTTTATGCAATAAATTTTTAAAACATAGAATTATGCACATGCACAATGCAAGAATGATTTTGACCCCCTTCCCTCTGTACTTCAAAGAAGCTGTGGTGTCGGTCTGCCATCAAAGCTGTAATAAGAAAATCTCAAACAACAAAGCTCAATTTGTTATTTTATCTCTAGATACAACAACTTAGATCTGTGATTTCCATCGTGAGCAATGTTGAGAAAGATGGCTCCGTAAAGCAGATAATGGCTTAAACCATCAAAGGGAGGTTCTTNGAAGGTAAAGGCAATTTTTTAGGTTTAGTTTCATATGATGAGACTTCTGATCAATTCTAATACTAATTCTGTTTGAGTGATTCCATGCCTTTCGTGTACATTGTTGACACTGTACCTGAAACAAGATCTTTTATGGCGTTTTAATATGAATTATATTCTTAGTTGATTGTTAGTTGGAAAAATACTTAACAATTTAATTTCACTCCAAAAACATTAACTTTTCATTGACTTTTAAGCCAATGCAACATGGCAATTCAAAACTAAATTTTGGATAGCTATGTTCAGTTCATTTTAAAATTTGAATCAGTCTGGTACCTTAATTTGTTGTTAAATACCAATATCGACTATAGTTCCTTGATACATTTTTCCAATCCCTAAATTCCCCTTCACTCTTTATGAGGACGTCAGAGGCCACCAATTGATTGGTTAGAGTGCCTCGTGATATTTTTCGCAGCCCTTGAGATTGCGATTTCTTAGAATGTCACTTTGAAGTATGGGGCCGCGTTCCATATTTCAAAACGACGTTTAAACGACTGTATTTCTCTCACTTAAAAACGTGAGTCACCGAATTCCGTAGAAAGGAAAAATGTAGAAAATAAATCACTTACCGTCACTTCTCCGACGGAATACTAGTAAAAGCTACTAGTTGTAAAGCGATCTCTAATTTCCCACAACCGTCCGCCATTTTTACTTTACTTTTTCCGAAGTTCGAACGAAGTCGCATCGGGTTGTCGCATCGGAGGTCTATGACGTCACGTAGCACACACATTCTTGACGGAAATTGTGGTTAGCTACAAGACATATTTCAGGCTGAAGGGAGCGTTATAGCGAAATGTCAGGATCAACAGGGAGTTGGATATATGGTTAGACAATGAACGATAATGCGAAAAATCATATCAGAGCTAATCACTTGTACTCAACGAAGCAGGGGAAAAGTTATTTCCTACCGGCAAGGGAACCCACCATTTGGAAAATGGTCGAAGACACCTTTCTTTACCCTGATGTCTCAACGCCTCATAGATCTGATAAGAATAGGATTGTTTTACGCAAACAATTTTCTTCACCAGTTGGCATCCATGGAAGAGATGGTACGGTATGTTATTTTGTGACTGTGATATACGACGAATTGGAGCAAAGAATTATCACTGCGTTTCCAACGAAATGAATTTTCATTTACCGATTTATGTTAAATTTGCACAGAACTGATTTTCTGAAAAAATTCGTAGAATTGCGTTACTCTTAAACTTAGAGCAGAGAGAACAATTATTTGCTCAGAATTAGTCCTGTCGTTAACATGAAGAGTCGGACATGGATTACAAAATGAAGGCGCAGAGCGGCTTCCTGTGCGATATCGCCTCAAGCAACGAGCTTAGTTGTCATCAACAGGACCAAACGGCTAAAAAACCTATAACAGCATCTTAGGACTACTAGGAATGAAAGAGGCAAATAATTCGGGAACAAGAACATAACTTGAGTGGAATGAAGCGGAAGGAGAGTACCCGGCTTTTTTTGTCTTTTTGCCACTTGTTTCTACATAACATAACATTTATTCAGGAAGCTAGAACGCAAATGTAAAAGATACATCCTGAAAAGGGAAAATCGTGAGGTTAGCCCTGTATAAAAACAACTTCCCTCACTAAAAACATACAAAAGATAAAATTTAATGTCTACAGATTCAATAAATATTAAATAAATATTCAAATAAATTTTAAGTCTACTCTGTTCTTTTTGCCAAATTCTGTGATGCTAGGCCCTAAAATAAGGCTTCGACTGTATTGCTAGGCTTTATTTATTTACTCATGTATTTATTTATCTTTTCATTTATCACTTATTTCCTTATCCAGTTTTCTTTTTAATTGTTTATTTATTTATCTGTTCATTTATTCATTTTTTGAATATTTTCAATTCTTTTATTCCGCAAGTTGTCTTAGTTTGTTCAATTTCCAACAGTAGCCCTCGGGCTTTTCACCATTGTCTAACCATGAAATGAGGTTAAATCAAGCAGAAACACAATCATACTTTATCCATTCAATGCAGCGGAAGCGCAGTAGTCTCACTCTGCCGATTTTTAACCATATTGAAAAGAAAGGGTTGGGGGG